GGCTCTGCCGTGCCCGCTGCGGGAGGAGCAGCCGGGGCCGGGCGCCCCAAGGAGGCTCCGCAGCCTTGGCAGTGCCCGGCCCAGCTGCAAACGGGACACGGTGGCCTTGGGGCCACCCAGCCGGGCCTCGGGGACCGCCAGGCTTTGGTGGCATCCCCCAAAAAGGGGATGAGGGGTTGGATCCGCTGAGGGAGAGGAAGAGCAGTGGGCTGGCACAGAGGAGCTCCCAGAGGGGCTGCCGAGTGCTACCGGGATTTTACTCCCTATTTAATTACAATTTTGTCAAATAAAAAGAAAAAAAAAAGGGGGGATAAAGAGATCCCTCTCGTCTCTTTGTGCCGGTTCCCAGCAGCCGGTTAATTAAACAGCGGCTGCCGAAGCCGCCGGTCCCGGAGGACCCCGGCCGAGCTGGGGCTGGGGGTCACACCTGGGCTCCAGTTGCTCCCAGTCCGGCCCAGTTGGGCCCAGTCCGGGCCGCTGGCGGCGCGGCTGTGGCTGTGGCGGTGTCGTGCCGATGCGCCGTGGCTAATCCTCACTCCTCCCGTGTAATCCCGCCCGCCGGGATAATCCCATCAAACCCGGCAGCGCCGCGCTCTGCGCCGCGTTTGGCGCCGGGGGGATCCGGGAGGGACACGGGGAGGGGACACGGGGGGTGACACGGTGGCCCCGGGAGAGCGGCGGCAGCGGGAGGGACCGTGGGGGTTGCGGGAGCCTGCGGAGGGCTCGGGTGGGGAAACTGAGGCACGGAGCAGGGCCCAGGAGCGGAGGGAGGCAGCGCTGGGAACAGCCCCAGGGTGATGGAACAGGGCGGGAGGGGACGAGCCAGCGGTGGCAGCACCCGCGGGTCACCCGAGAGATGGAGCCGGGGTGGCACGGAGGGACCCTGGCTGGCGTGGTGGGAACGCCGCAGCATTCCTGAGCGGCCCATCCACCGCCTCCCGCCGGCAGCGCTGGGACAGCCCCGGGGACCGGGAAGGGTCGGGATGGAGGTCTGGGAGATGGGAGCTGGGATCCAGCCCCGGGGACTGGGAAGGGTCGGGGGGGAGGTCTGGGAGCTGGGATCCAGCCCCGGGGACCGGGAAGGGTCGGGGTGCAGGTTTGGGAGCTGTGAGCTGGATCCGTCCTCGCCCTGTGCCCAAAATAACCCGGCCCCGCTGTGCCCCGTCCCTGTGACAGCCCTGCGTGCACAGCCCTGGTCACACGGGGGACAGCCATGAACACACGTGTGACAGCCATGAAGGCACCTGCACACGTGTGAGAGTCATGAACACACGTGTGAGAGCCATGAAGGCACCTGCACATGTGTGACAGCCATGAACACACGTGTGTCAGCCCATTCACACCTGCACATGTGTGATGTGACAGCCATGAACACACCTGCACACGTGTGACACCCCCTGCACACCTGCAGACGTGTGACACCACGCAGAGACACACAGGTGCCCGCACACGGTCACACACAGGTGCCAGCTGGTGCCCACATTCCTGCACATGTGTGTCACCGGTGCCTCCTGCCAGCCCTGCACACGCACACGACACCTGGTGCACACGCGCTGTGAGCGGCATGTGACACGTGTGACACCTGCTGTACACACCGACACCTGCACGCACACACACACACACACACACACACGACACACGGTGACACCCCCCGCACACACGTGCCCACCCCCCGCGCACAGATGGCACCTGGCACACCTGGCAGGGCCGGCAGGGGACAGGGACACCGGCCTGCCCCGAGGCTTTTGGGAGGCTGAGGAGCTGCGCCGGTGGTGGCGGCGGTGGGGTGACAGTGACAGTGGCAGTGACAGTGGCGGTGGCAGCGGTGGCGGGTGCCGCGGGCAGCGCCGGGAGAGCGAGGAGCAGCTCCGAGGCCGCTCGGACCTTCCGGCAGCGCGGAGGCGGCGCAGGGAACAATGGCCCTTTGTTCTGCGCCGCTGGCATGCACAGCCCGGCCTGCAGCCCGGCCTGCATCCTGCATCCATCCTGCATGCAATGCTGCATCCTGCATCCTATCCTGCATCCATCCTGCATCCCACCCTGCATCCTGCATCCTATCCTACATCCCATCCTGCATCCTGCATCCCCTCCTGCATCCCACCCTGCATCCTGCATCCATCCTGCATCCAATGCTGCATCCCATCCTGCAACCTGCATCCATCCTGCATCCATCCTGCATCCTGCATCTCATCCTGCAACCTGCATCCTATCCTTCATCCATCCTGCATCCCACCCTGCATCCCACCCTGCATCCTGCATCCCACCCTGCATCCAATCCTGCATCCTGCATCCCATCCTGCATCCCATCCTGCAACCTGCATCCTATCCTGCATCCCACCCTGCATCCTGCATCCTGCATCCATCCTGTATCCCACAGCCCGGCCTGCATCCATCCTGCATCCTACATCTCATCCTGCAACGTGCATCCTATCCTGCATCTCATCCTGCATCCCACCCTGCATCCTGCATCCATCCTGCATCCCATCCTCCATCCCACAGCCCGGCCTGCATCCCAGCCCACATCCCATCCTCCCTCCTCCATCCCATCCTCCACTCTGCCTCCCAGCCCACATCCCCCTGCACATCCCACATCCCCATCTCCATCTGCACATCCCCTGCCCACCCTGCATCCTCTCCTCATCCTCACCCCCTGCCCACCCTGCATCCTCTCCTCGTCCCATCCCCTGCCCACCCTGCATCCTCTCCTCTCCCCTGCCCACCCTGCATCCTCTCCTCTCCCCTGCCCACCCTGCATCCCCATCCTCACCCCCTGCCCACCCTGCATCCTCTCCTCCCTCTCCCACGCTCCCCTCCATCCCTGGCACTCCCGGTGCCCATCCCGGCAAGATGGAGAGGATGGGAAGGAGGAGGAGGAGGAGGAGGCCGCAGGGTGAAGGCTCACGTGCTCTCACCCACACCTTGGCACCGGAAGCCACTTGTCACTTTGTCACCCTCTGGGCACACGGGCGGTGGCAGGAGGAGATTTGCTGGGGGTGGCCGTGTCTCCTGTCCCCTCTGGTGTCCCCATCCCCGGGTGTCCCTGGCAGGTGGGTGGCTCCAGGTGGGCACCCTGAGTGCCACCTCCAGGGCCATCATCACGGGGATGCTGGGGATGGCGATGCCACTGCGGTGACACTGAGGTGACATTGAGGTGACCTGCCACCCTCAGCCCCTCCCTGCCCATTGAACCCAGCAGATATTTATATTTAACCTCATTTAAATACAAGGAGGAGTTCGAAGATAATCCTGATGGGAAGTGCTGGCTCTGGAGGGTGGAACAGCCCCATTGTCCCCAGCAGAGCTGACACCGGCAGGGGGGACCTGAATGCCAACAAAGCCCCAAAAGCAACAGCCCAACTTTATCAGGGCTAAAAACTGACCTGGCTGCGGGGCTGACCCTCACTCCCGACCCCCCTCGGGGCCTCCTCCAGCTGGCCTGGCTCTGGGATCGGGGGGCTGTGGTTGCAGGGCTGCTCTCTGAGGGTGGGGTGGTTTGGGGTAGTTTGGGGTGGGTTTGGGGTAGTTTGGGGTGCCTGTGGGTGGGTTTGGGTGCCTGTGGGTGGGTTTGGGTGCCTGTGGGTGGGGTGGGTGTGTTCGGCAGCCTCCCATCCCGGGAATGCCGGGCTGGAATTGCAGGTTCCGGCCGGAGCCGGGTGTCAACACCGCCGTGGTTGTTGTAGGGTCTCCAGGGGCCGCTCCCGGAGCTGCTGTCCCTCTGCTGCCCGGGGACACGGATCCGCCGGGAAGGGGACACTGGGGAAGGGGCTCCTCGGGACTGGGGCGCCCTGAGGACGGGGGGTCCATGAGGAAGTGACAAGAACCCCTGGGGACAAGGATGGGCCAGCCGCGGTGCACGGGGAGGTGACACCCCGGGACCGGCACGGTTTGGGTGGGGGCTCCAGGGCGGTGCCGGGCTCGGGGCAGGAACTGGGGGTTCCCTCTTCCCTGCCCGAAGGGGAACTGAGGCACGAGGCCGGAGGAGGTGACTCGGAGCAGCCGGATCTGCTCCTGTCACCGCCCTGGGGCCATGCGGGTGCCAAAGAGGGGTGACAGGGTGACATCGAGGGGACCCCGCCAGGGCACAGAGCCCCTGGGGTGGCACAGGACGAGGGGGGTGAGTGCCTTGGGGGACAAGTGGGGCTTTGGGGACAAGGGGGATGAGGGGAATGGCTGTTTTGGAGGGGCAGGATTTAGGGACAAGGGGGGGTGACAGTCTTTGGGGGGACAGCGGGGACAGGGGGGGATGTGTGCCATGGGGACAAGTGGCTTGGGGAGACCAGCAGGACGGGAGGACCCGGGGGGGTGGGACAAGGGGACAAAGGCTGTGAGCTGGGGGGACAGCAGGGGACAAGGGCTGTGAATTGAGGGGGGGGACACAGCGCTCCGTCTGCCACCCCCTCTGTCCCCCTCCCCTCCCGGGTTTTATTTCGGCGTGACGCGCGATCCTCCTCGCTAGGAAACCGTTCTTAATATGCAGATGAGCCTGGATTTAATATGCAAATCACCATGCGGCTCTGGCCGGCCACCAGCACCGGCGGCGTGCCGGAGGGGACGTGTCGGGGCACCCATGGGTGACACCCGGGGGCACCCCCAGCAACTGGGGCCGCCTCTGGGCACCCACGGTGGGTGACAAAGCCACCCAAGGTGACCGCGGGGTCCCCACCACCCCCAGTGCCCGTGTCGGGGTCGCTGCGGTGTCCCGGGGGGCTCGGACGCCTGTGTCCCCACCCGGTGGGCGATGGGGAGGGGACAGGGACAAGGGACGAGGGACAGGGACCGGGGCTATAAACGGCAGCTGTAAACGGAGCCGGTAACCGGAGCGGGAGGCCCGGGGGGACATTTGAGCCGCCGGCGGGGCCGTGGAAGCGCCGAGGTAAATGATGGCTGCTGTGTCCCCCCCCCCGCCGAGCCGGTGACCCCCCATCCCTGTCACCACGCGGGGACCCCTCCGGTGCTGGGGTTCCCCCGTTCTCTGGGCCCCGCGCAGCTCTGGGGGGGCTGCCGGCGCCCCCCGGGAGCTCGGGAAGGGGGGGACCGGCGGCAGGGACAGGGACAGGGACGCGGCCAGCGCGCCGTGCCAGGTGGCCGGGGTGACATTTGCTCCGTCCCTGCCGTGGGGACAGCTGCTTCCTGGCTCTGCCATCTGAACCGGCCCCGGAACGGAAACCCGGGGGGGGCTCAGCCCCCCCAGCCCCGGCGGCAGCAGCTGGGGTTGGGGGGGGCCGTGGCACTTGGGGGGGGCACTGCTGGTGACCCCCAAAGCCTCTGTGGCAATGGGGGTGGCGCTGGGTGACCCCACTGAGCAAGAACCGGGGGCCACGTTTTGGGGGGCTGGAGCATGGTGGGGGGTGGGGTGTAAAGGCCTCATTAGCATATCTAATTACTGATTTCTTTTTGGCGTGGGGCGCCTTCTGAACGAAAAAAAAACCCAAAACCCGGCATGAGACCGATGGGGGGGGGACGCGGATATCGGGATTGTGCCGGGGAGGGGAGTCCCAAAAAGTCGCATTTTCAGGGATTTCGTTGTTGGTGTCCCCTGCCTTTGCCACCCCCACCCCTGTGTGTCCCCCCCTTCCCAATGTCCCCCCATTCTCCAGTGTCCCCGCTCAGTGTCCCCCCCTTTCCCAGGGTGTGTCCCCCTTCCCTGGTGTCCCTCCCTTCTTGATGTCCCCCCCATTCCCGGTGTGTTCCCCCCCCCCACTCCCCGTGCCCCCCTCTTTCCCATTTTCCTCCTAAGGGCTTTACGAGGCTGGGGGGCCCGGGGGGAACTGTCCCCCTGTCCCCGCTGTCCCTCTGTCCCCGCTCCGTGTCCGGGGGGGGTCTCACCGGTGGCTTTCCCGTGGGGTGCCGCTCGGGGGGTCCCAGGGGTGCCCCCCCCGGGTCCCCGGCTGCGGTGACAGCTGCCGGGGTGGGGGGGGTTGGTGGCTCCGGTTACGGTGACATCAGCCCTACCTTCCCACCTGGCGCGGGCGGGGGGCACGGGCCCCCTCCCCCGGGGGTCGCGGGGGGTTTGACGTGACAGCTGAGCCCCCAGCGCCGCCGGGGCGTCCCCGAGGGGGGGGTGGCACCCCCGGGCACGGGACCCGCGAGTGCGGGACCCCCCTGGCAGCGGAGGGGACAGCGGTGACACAGGGCAGCGGCGGAGGCGGCCGGAGCGGCTCAGGTGGGCAGAGCGCCGCGCTGGGGGGGGCAGATGGCAGGGGAAGGGGTCCCACCCCCCGGGGAGGGGGGGCAGAGTGCCCCCCCCGGCAGGGACACCCCTCGGTGGGATCAGCGGTCCCGCTGTGCTCAGACCCCCAGGGATCGCAGCAAGAGGGGGAGCCCCGGGGCTGCCCCCCGCTCCTGCCCCATTCCCCAGTGCCGGGGGTAGCGGAGATGCTGGGGGGGGGGGAGCCAAGCAGCTCCCCCCGCCCCCCAAAGCTTTGCGTGTCGGGGTGAGGGCTGAGCGTGCTCTGCGGCGGGGAAACTGAGGCACGGAGCAGGGACAGGGACGAGGGACACGCCCGAGGCTGCTCGCCCGCTCCGTGTCGGACATACCCGAGTGGAGACCCCCCCTCATCCCCGGCACACCCCCCTGTCCCC